TATTCCTTGCGTTTAAAAATTCTCCACTGGCCATGTTAACATAACTTAGGAGATTATGTATTAAAGAAAAATAAACAGTTTTAAAGGACTTGAAAAAAAATTTATAGCTAAATATCTAAATTGCAAAATAACGTAAAAATCTCAAAATACTAAATAGGTTGTTGCTAAGCAAAATTAGATATCCATAATAACAAAATATAAAAATAACATCTTCATAAGAAGCGCAGACATATAAGTACTCTGATAATTTTAGTGAATTTAGCCCTATAATTAAATTAAGAATTATGCCCGGCAAAAATCTATTCGTGCCCCCTTTGCGTCGGTATGAGAACGGTGAATAATGAATAAAAATAATCCTATAAAAAATTTTGTATTGACGGCCTGCTGCGTACAGTATTAAACGCTTGCTAAACGCAAAATAAAACAAAAATTAAATAATAATATGTATAAAGACATTCCTCAAAACAAAAGTGTATACATTCAGATCAAGATAATAAAAGCTAAATTATTTATGCTGCTGGTAGGTTGTTTAGCCTCAAGAATGGAAATTGTCATAAATAAATGGTTGTTTTATATTTTAAAATATCAAATATATGGTAGAAATCACTTTAACAATCTACTCAAACCGTTTCATTTCCATATCAAATAAGTAACTATGCCTGAGATTGAAACATTTAAAGTTCAAGAAAACCATATAAATATTTTGTATGCATTAATTTCAGTTGCTTTTTCATGGAGTGTTGGTTGGTTTGGATTTAGCTGGTCGTGGGTTATTGGATTTTTCATTTTTGTTTTATTGTGGAAAAATAATCTGAGGGAGAAAAATCTGTGTTATGCTCTCATGCAAATTATCTATAACAACAATAATAAAGATATTCAAAAAAATGATCAAGATCTAATCAACAAAAACAAAATAAGAAGTGCACCTTCGTGGGTTTGTTATTTTTTATTATTTTTTTGTTAATATTTATTCTCATACTTTTATTCACTGATTATTAAATGAATTTTAATATACAAAAATATTTTTTAAAAATTAAAAAAATAATTTCCAATTTGATTAAAGATTTTGATTTTTTTTTAATCACGTTTTAACTACTCTGTAATAGAGTCTATGCTATATAGTAGGTACATAAAATTTTTTAACTAGTTCAATATTAAAATCTTATTTATGGCTAGAAAAGTTAAATTCTGTATTTGAAAAAGATATTTCCTTCTAATATATTTATGAAAACAATCTTATATTTAACATAATCTTTTGTTTGTTTATCACAATTTATTTATTTTAATTTTTACTTATTTAATGTAATATTTTTAATTAAGATTATAAACAATTTATAGATGGATTTTATCAGCTACCAATAAAATATTTGTAAACGTTATTTATATTCATTAATGTATTATATCAAAAGAACTTAACATGATAATAATTTTGTATATATAAAATTTATTACGTAATAAAAAAATTATTATGCAATTAAAAAAAGTTTGTTAATTTTATATAATATAAGAAATATATAATTAATTAAATAATATAATACAAAAATTAATAGTTTGAAGTTATTTAATATTAAAAACTCTATTTTACATAATAGCTTTAATAAAAAGATAAATCATTGAGAAAATGAGTTTTATTCTTTTATAATGACATTTTTATAAAAACTGATTTTTATTTGTAAAACCAATCAGTTAGTCCGATCTAATCAAAAAAAATTTTTTTTTAATTTGTGTTTTTTTATAATTTTTTTTTGTTGTTGTTGTTGTTACAATAAATCTTTTTAAAAAGCATTTTAGTTTATTATGCAGTTATTGGTTTACTTCTAAAACAACTTCTGCATTTTTCATTTTAGGTACAATGATAATGCTTTTCTTATATAAATAACTTTACTATATTGTCATTAATATTATTGATATATTACTGGGTGTTTTACACCAAGATTATATATTAAGATGTTATATTATTGGGTATTTCATACCAAGATAATATGATAAGATCTTATAATACTGTGTATTTCACACCAAGATTATATGATAAGATGTTATATTACTGTGTATTTCACACCAAGATTATATGATAAGATGTTATATTACGAGGTATTTCACACCAAGATTATATGATAAGATGTTTTATTACGAGGTATTTCACATCAAGAATTAAAAAAATTCTCTTTGCCATTCAAATCTGTGTTTAAAATGAAAAGAAAAATTCTTCTTTTTTTTTTACTTATTCTATTATAACTTTATGTTATAACTATGTTGTATTTATTTTCGCATTTATAATACTAAAATTCTGCTTTAATGAAAACAAAAAATTTATTGTAGCATAAAATGAAATATATTATAAAGTTGAAAGGTAAAAAAAGTTAATCTGAATCTCAAACTTTGTTTTTTTAAATGATTTAGTATTATAAAATTTTTTGATTTTTCTAATTAATAGCTGAAAATAGAAAAAAAATATATTTTGCATATTTTGCAAGAGCCATAAATTGCTTTTTTTACTAAGCTAAAGCTCTTGCTTTAAAGCTATGGGTTAACTTGAAAAGATTTTCCAAAACAAATTAATTATTAAAAACTATTGATAATATTTGCTCTAATTTTTGAAATAGCACATATCAGCATAGATAACTTTAGTCTTCCATAGATAAGTTTTTTCCTGGAATTCTGGAAATTCACTTAAAACTCCTTTAATTTTCCAGAAATTTCTGGATGTTTTTTTTATTAATTTGTTTTTAAAAAATTATAAATTTTTACATAAAGTTTTAAAAACGGCAACTTTTGCATTTAAACAAATATGTTTTCTATAGTTAACATTTTCACGAGTTTAATTTAACAATTTTTTTTCTTTTTTTTTTTTTGCTTTTTAATTTATTCAAATTAACTTTTTCGAATATTAGAAATTTCTTTTTGTAAAAAGTTAAATAATCTAAATTCCGTTTTAAAAGTTTACGAAAGTTTTTGTTTTCAGTTAATATGATCAATTTTTAATAAAATAATTTTCCCGGATTTTCATAAAAAAAAATTTCCAGGATTTTCATAACGTCAAATACTCATCTATGGTCTTCTCGCTTTAAGTGCTTTTTTTACAAATAATTTTTTTCAACACAAAAAAGTCTTATTAAAAATACTTATGGTTTTAAAGCAATAAAACAAAAACAAAAATTGTTTCAATATCATGATAGTTCTATCATTACCTCGCTATTATCTTGCTATCATTATCATTTTAGTTCAGTTTAGTATCGTTTTCATTATCATGATAGTTCTATCATTACCTCGCTATTATCTCGCTATCATTACCTCGCTATCTGCTCTTTGAAAATTTTTTGATTTGTTTTGGCTTTTTAACTGAGACAAGAGAAGTTTTATTGTCCATAAAACTGATGCTTCTACTTTTAGAAATCTCTGATTTATTTGTCTGGGACAAATAAATCGGACCTTAAACTACCAAAAAAAGCAATTGAATAAAGAACAAAAAAAAGATACTCTGGAAAATCTGAGGAGAGTTTGGCCCGCTCGGCTCCCTTTGCTGCAGCCCATTATGTATTTTGAAAAAAAATATTTTGCATTTTTATACTTGCTTTTCAATTATTTTTATATCTTAATAACTATATATTTAAAATAAAAATGCTACATTGATGTCTGACACATTTGAAGTTTATGCGAAGCTAAGAAATTAAATGAGCATGAAAGGAATAAATAATGCCTGTAGACTGTGTCTGTAAAAGTGTGAATTAGGAATATTTTAGTTGTGTAATTAGTAAATTGATCATTTGCCGTTTAGTTAAATTTATGACATAATGAAATTGATTGTGGTAATTCCAATCCTACAATTATTGAAAGACTAGACAGTATAAATTAACTAAAAAGGATTTATTTTAACATCAGAAATCATATTTTGTTTTTAACAATCTCTAAAATTTGCATAAAAATAGAGTAAATGTTTTTTTATACTTGAAGTTACTTATTTACTACTACAGTAAAAGTGTATATTTAAGCCACCCAAAATTTATAAATAAGCCACCCACATTACCTTTCACATTCAAGTCACCCAAAATTTGATATATCATAAAGTGGATGTTCTTCTAAACTGCAAATCAAAAAGTTTTTGTCCAAAACCTTTTGTCAAAAGTTTTAAGAAACATTAAGTGCTACAGTTTGAAAACTAAACGTTTTTTAGATAATAAAACTAATTTTTTTTTATTTATTTTTTTATTTTAATTCACCTCCTCAAGGCCGAGAAGGCCACTACAGCCCGAAAACAACTCCGAAACACGAACCTTGACGAACAAGGCCGCTTCGCGGAGAAACGAGTTGAGCGCGGTACTACCAATTTAGGATTACAATTGAAGTCTAAAACTACAAAGTATTTTTTTAATATTTTTTCATTTATATTTTAAAGTTGTACAAAATTCTTGGAGGATTTGAATAAGTAGCTTAGTCTGTCATAGAAAGCTCGAAAGGATTTCTTATAAATTCATCTTTTTATCAAAATTATTATTTTTTAGTAAACTGATTTCTGTAGCTTAAAGTAATAAATCCCTAAAAAATTGCTGGTGCCAAATATAATAAAAATTTGCTAGTTTCAAATATAATACGAGCAACATGCAATTGTTATTTTCACTTTTAAAGAAGAATTGTTATATTACACATATTAAATGTATTATTTATATACATTAAATGCTATTACTGTTACATCATATAATTAGATAAGAAATATAATAATAATGATAATAATAATAGTTATAACAATACTATATAACTATTTATTATATGTTATTATACTATAAACTATTAAAAATATATTACAAATATTATAAGTTTTGTTAGTATATATTATAAATTAATAATATTGCTCTATATAGATAAGAATATAATAGTAATAATAACAATAATAATAATAAAAAGTGTACAAGTGTTGTTGAGAGTAAGAAAAATAGAGATGGAAGTCAAAAGCCAACTCAAAATAGAAATAATAAATAAAAAACAAACAATAACTTAAAGTTTTTTTATTAATTATAAAAATAAAAATTTTAAAAGTTTTTTGTAACAAAGCAATTGCCATCTGCTAAAGTTTTCTCTTGTTAGAATAATTTTTAGTTCAATTTATTTGAAAGATGTCTAGTAAAGAATTTGTAAGTGATTTTATGAGGGGTTTTTGTAGTTATTTAAGATTATTTTTGTTGTATATGAAGTTTTGAGTTTAAAGTATAATTGGAATAAAAAAATTTTTTGGCTTTAGGCATTTTTTCCAGATGTTGAAAGAGCAGAATGGCTGAATCAGGTTTGTTGGTTTGAATCTGCTTGTTTGAAAATTATTTTTTAATTGCATTTTTTGATATGCTAAAAAGGGTCTGGTTTTTTATTTTAAAAATATTTTTTTTAGATGATAAAACAGTTCTGGCCTTTTATTTCAAAAATAATGGAAGATTTTTTAAAGACAAAAGTAGAACCTGATATGAAAATGAAACTTCCATCAACAATCAAGTCTCTTAAATTCAGTAAAACTGATTTGGGAAACAGAGTAAGCAAAGGACAATTATAAGCAATTGTATTATAAAATTTTAAATAAATAGAATAAAATAAAAAAAAAGGTTTTATACTTTATTAGCCAATCAGACTTGGAGGTATAAAGGTATACTCAGAACATGTACCTCCAAATCAAATTATTGCTGATATGGAATTAATGTAAGATGTTTTTTTAAAATATTAATCAACTTTTAACAGTGAAAATTTAAAATGAAGTCATTATAAATGCACTATGCCCCTCATGCACCATACATTATTACCATACATGTATCTTAACCACACACTAAGGTTTTCTTTCACGATACATACCCCTTTACCTTTTTTGTATCCCCGTGTAATTTCACCATATATTTTAACACCTTCATCATACACCTTTACTTTCACCATGCACCTTCTTCTTTTTTTTTTTGAATATTAAATAGTTTTTGCTTTTGAATTTTTATAATTATTTCATTAAAAATAGATATGCTGGGGATGCGTTGATAGAACTGGCACTGGACAATGGTATTTCTGGTGGTATATCAGATATTCAGGTGTTTTATTATTATTATTTTTGTTAACTTAATGAATCCAAACATAGTTTTTTTTTACTGATTACATATTTTTTACACTTATGTGTTAATAAGGTTTATGTATAGGAGAATAAGCTATTTATAAGTCTATCCTTTATAGGTATTATTGAACAACAATCATGTAAAAAAACTATTTATGAATATCTGTTTATGGAAAAGCAAATTTGTTGTTGTTTTAGATTCATGGAACAATGCGTATTGAAATAACTCCTTTACTGTCAAAACTCCCATTGATTGGTGGAATTTCATTATATTTTATTGAGACTCCAGTTAGTTATTATTTAATTGAATTTAATTAAAAGTTAATTATTAAATTAAAATTTGATAATTAAGTTATAATATATAATATAAATATCAAATAATTCAACTATCAAATTTTACATATTTAAAATGTTTTAAAAAAATTTAAATTTAAAAATTTTTATTTATATTTTTAGGAGTTAAATTACAATTTTACCAATTTGTTAAATATTCTTGATGTACCTGGAATCAGGTAAGATTTTTTTTTAACTTTGTTTAAGAAAAATAAAATTCCATTTCAAATTTTAAAGTTCATATCCTTAATTAGGATTCAAAATAAAAAATACTTCCCTTCCCTTCTGTCCATTTATGTTGTCTAATATTTATTTTATAGAAATAATATGTTATAGTAATGTATATACTTAATATATGATTAGTTTTTTTTATTAATAAGAACATGGCTTCAGAAAGCAATTTGTTAGCCAGCTTATTGTTTTTGTTTTAAAAAGGAATCATTCAAACCTTTGAGAAATAATTTATTAAAAGTAATAATTAAATAATAATAAATAGACTTTTTATCAAAATTAAAATAAAAAAAATAACTTATAACAATGCTTTTAGAAATTTATTATAAAGCTTTAATAAAATAATTTTCGTTTTATAATCTTAAATCTTAAATCATTTTAAAAATTAATAAATAATTTAAACTTATAATCTTTTATTAAATCATTTTATTAAATTTAAATAAAAAAAAAACATTAAATCGTCAATAAGTTTTTAACTTATATTTTTTTCTTAACAAAGGGTTAGGACGTTGAACTAATCTGAAAAAAAAATGACATTTTGTAATTGAAAAAAAAATACTAATTAATTTTTAATAAAAAATTTGAAAATAGTTTTATCGCAAATTTTCTGAAATTTTCTGGCAGCAAATAGCTGCCAGAAAATTTCTGGCAGCTATTTTGAGCCTTATCTTATCAATCTTGCTTTTTTTATTATTGTTTAAAATGTGTTTCAATATTGATAAAAATATGTTTATTGTTTTAGCCAAATTGTTAATAGTTTACTAAAAGAAGCTTTGGAAAGTTTTGTTGTTTTTCCTAATCGTGTAAAGATTCCGATTGGCAATCCAACAGATATTGAAACTTTCAGGTTTTATTATCCAAAGGTATTTTTTTTATAATTTTTTTTTTTGAAATTTAAAGGTATATATTATCTAAATACAAAAGAATATATATTTTAAATGTATGTAAAAAAAAAGGTATATATTATCTAAATGCAGAGAAAATTTTCTTATAATGCAAAGGAGTATATTTACTAGTGAATGTAGTTTAATACATCCATAGGTATATATTTTCCAAATTAAAAGTTATAAATCATTTAATTACAAAGCTATCTAAATAAAGATAAAAGTTATTTATATTGCAAAAGAGTGTATTCACTTAATCTAAAAAGATATATTCTCAAAATCTAAAATATATTAATAGTATTATGGTGAGGCAGGCTATAGGAATATATATATATATATATATATATATATATATATATATATATATATATATATATATATATATATATATATATATATATATATATATATATATATATATATATTATGCAGTAGTGGTGTAGTGGTAGAGCACTCACCTCATAAACGAGAAATTCCAAGTTTGATCCCCATTACGTCCCTGGTAGTACTTTGCTCAACTTATTTCTCCGCGCAGCAGCCTTGTTCATCGAGGTTCGTGTTTCAGAGTTATAGAAATGAAAAAGTGACAAACAAAGAAAAGGTCCTCAACTGTAGTAGCCTTGAGGAGGTGAATAATTATAAGTAGGTAAAAAAAAATTTTTTTTAATGTAGCAGCACTGCCATAACTAGTTTATCTAAAGGTGTTGACCGCATGCGCTTGTTTGTCAAGTAATATATATATATATATATATATATATATATATATATATATATATATATATATATATATATATATATACATACACCTATGGTAAAGGCATTAAATATACAGTTTGTGGTCAAAAACAGCTTGTAGCTTGTCTAACAATGTGTACCCAAACCATGATCAACACTAAACTAATGTCCCCAAAAAACCCTTTGGGGGATCATAGCACATATATAGTAGAACATTTAGATATAAATTTGGATAGCAAATTATTACGTCCAAGAAAGATATTTTGATTTTAAATTTTAAAACTAATAGGCCTAAAAAATTGTGAAATGACAGGGGATTTTGCATTTTTACAGAACTTATTACTGAACTTGGTTATGGGGAAAACATCTAAAAGTGATTTTAAGTGTAAACATTAGTTTCTGAAAATTATTTTGGTTGTTTTTGTCATTCCCAAAACAAATACCTTAAAATAATGTTTTATTTTTGTGCCGTTTTTTTCAAAAAATTTCTGGCATTTCAAAAAATAAACAATTTTCACAACACACTAGACATATAAGTTGCAAAAATGCCTAAAAAAGCCAAAGACCACGAAGAGAATAGAAAAGCTGTTTTTTGTACTTTCAGATAGGAAATCATGAACTAACAACTTTTCTGATTAAGAAAACACAAAAAGTTCTCAAAGTTGAGCTGGATTTTTTTGATAACAGGATTCTTTCAGGTATTTGTGAAAGATGTTGAAGGGCGAAAATCCTCCTCTTCCTAGCTTTTACGATTTTAAGAGCATCTCAGTTCTACCAGCTCTCAGAGAATCTCCTTGTGATTGTTTGATCTGTCAAATTGCCAGAAATAAATTGAATATTTCTCATCCACTGTCAGCAAGTAAATCTAAGAACTAAGGAAGCATTAAAAAAAGATGTTGAGACTGATTTTCTTTGATAGGGCAAGGGCTGCACCACAATTGTACAAAAAGAACAATGCAACAAAATTTGATTGCGGCTGCATCAAAAGATGCAGTGGCTGCAGAGATGATTGCAACTATGGTCATCTCAAACAAACCTCCTTCTCCTCATGGCACTGTCCATCTCAGTCAAGCAAAGTGAGGCAACAATTTTCAGTTGGTATGATGCAGTTTTAAACTATCATAAGCATTAATCCCCTGTGTCTAATAGCATACACTTTTCTTAGGGCCATCCAGGGCAAGATAAAATCTTTCCTGAGGAGAAAAAGCTAACAGTTATAGATATGCTCAAGGTTCAAAATGAAACTGGACTTTCTAATTGTGGCATGAAAAAACTTGCATCATCACTAAATCAAGCCACTCCTCATCAGATTGTTGAAAAAAAATTTCATAACAAGTATGAATCACTTGAAAAGACTCTTGTAGAACAGTTCATTGCAAACCACATTCAAGATTCAACAAAGAAAGATTTAACCAGAGTTTTTGTTCACTGCAAAGATGTATCTGATATAGTCAACCATGTTTTAAAAGTAAGAAATATTCCTGGAGAACCATTGATCAAAGTAGGAACTGATGATGGAGGTGGCTTTTTGAAAGTATCCTTGGGAGTTGTTGAAGCAAACAGAGAGGATTCTTTTCCTCCCTCAAAGTGTGTTGCAAAAGACACAGGTGTGAAGCGCCAGTTATTAATTGCTGTTTCTGAAAACCTACCAGAAAGTTATGAAAACTTGAAAAGCATTTTGAATTTGCTCCAATTGCAGAAAAAAAATTTTTTGTTTCATATGACATGAAAGTAGCAAATCTCA